ACACACACACACACACACACACACACACACACACACACACACACACACACAGGTGTGTTCCTGAAAGTTTCTGATATAAAAGTTTGATCATGTGACAATGTTTTATGAGATTTTAATCAAAGTTCTGCGGTTTGGAGGACGGAATGTGTCCTGCAATCAATCTGAAAACTCCAGTAATGAACAATAAAGACAGGTGACTGTTCGAGAGAAGCATGCTGGGAGTTGTAGTTCTCTGCCTTCAGTTGTTATGTTTCAGAAAGGAGGTTTAATAAACTCTTTATTTATAAACTCTGAATTTATCTGAGTTAAATAACTCTGAGTATGTAAACATTGAGCAAAGAGCGTGCACGTGAGATATGCAGTCATTTTCAATCATCCACGTGGCAGCTGCTGGAAAAAAAACAAAAAGTTTATAACTACAGAGTACAAATCTAGCAAAGTTAAGTCAGGCCCTCTGGAAGGATTAAAAAAAAAATTGTTGAAATGTTTCACCTTTTATCCAAAGGACTTCTTCAGTCTGAGGAGCTGTAACAAACTCAGTCTTATAAATAGCACCTTCTCATAGTGGATCAACCAGTTTGTTGTTGACATCCAGAACTAGCTGTTCACATGATCAAGGAAGACCATCAACCTAATGACTGTTCGTTAGCACCCTGATGGCTGCTTGCTATTCACAGAGGGCTGAGTGATACTAGCAAATAACAGCAATGTAAGAGGGGGACAGTTGGACGCGGAGGCTCCGCCCCCGTTTAATGATGGTTCTCTTCACAAAGATGGCTTCCTTTACTCCTCTCAAACCATCGTTCCTCTCTATCAAGGATGTGAACATCTTTAGAGTCCTGACCTGATGATACTGATCTTCTTTGCTGGTCCATCCTTTTGGCCAGTGGCTGTTTAGTTTCCCCCGATGTAAGACTGATCACCCTCCTGACACTGAACAGCATACACAGTATTACTCTGTGCCAGGGGACTGGATCTTTGGGATGAACTGGTCCTTCCCTCCAAGAAGGAGGAACGGGAGGGGAGGTTCCACAGGTTTCACCTGGATTGTTGAGCATGCATCAAGATGCAGAGTACAAAGTGCAGTCTGGAGGGAGACGCACAATGATGATGTCACAGGGTTAAAAACACAGTAACTGAAAAAAGAATACTTCTAAGAGCTGAACTCTTTAGTCTGTCCCTGAGCTTTAATCTATAAAGATGGTTTTTAATATTTTTAAACACAATAAAACCACATTGTTTAAAAAATGAATGAAATGTTAGTTTGAAAATTTGTAAAAACTTGTAAAAATTAAAATTTTGAGAAAAAAAAACGTTTTTCAGAAGATGTGTCTCAGAGTCCGTTCGCCCTGCAGGTCTCAACATTCAGCTATGATGGTTCTGTTCAGATCAGGTGGTTCTGCAGACATGACATCTGTATGGCTCCATGTCGTTGGCTTTGACCTGATCCGACACGTTGGTACCAGATGTTTCTGCAGATGTTCAATCAACTGGACCTGTATTCTGCAGAGCGTGAAGTTCTGAACCTTGTTGGTGTTGGTGTGGATGTTTTCAGCACCTGGGTCGACCCACAGGAAGTGAGACCGGAGTGTGATCAGATCTGGACCTGATTCAGAACCACAGATGAAGAAGATCCGGATCAGGGTTGGGTCATTTCTGCCTGCAGGGTGAAGCAGAACCAAAAACTGAAACGAGGAAGACAATAATTAAACTGGGGGAGGAGGGGGGGAGGGGGCGGAGCTTCCAGCAGTCAGTCTGGATGTGAGAAGGCACAGGGCCAGGTGGCGTGACCTCTGAAAGTCCACGTGGAGGAGGCGCCTCCTCCTCTGGAAGTGTGTTCTGATGGACTTCTTCATCCGCTGACTGAACCCGGTTCTGTTCAGTTTTATGCGTCTCAGAATTTGGGCCGACAGAACCATGGGTCCAGAACAAACGTCACTGGTAAAACATGTCGCCGTATCGGACCTCCAGTAAACCCGGTTCTGACAGAACGTGAAAACAAAATGTCAGAACCGGCAGCGCCAATCAGAACCTCCAGTTATCCTGCACAGAACCTGGTTTTGTTAATCCTCCTGCCGTTGCTGAAAAACAAACCCAAACCTCAGTTCATAAGATCAGAATCAGAGTTTCAGAGTATCCTGATGCATGCTCAATAATCCAGGTAGAAAAATCTAAAAAAAATTTAAGTCTGGTCCTCTAAACATTAAAAAAAAAGCAAAAAAAATTTTTTTTAATGTAGAAACGTTTTGTCTTTCATCCGAAAGACTTCTTCAGTCTGAGGTGCTGTATTCAGCTCAGTCTTATAAATATCACCTTCTCATAGTGGATCAACCAGTTTGCTGCTGACAGCCAGAGTTTCAGAGGTTCCTCTGAGATGAGGTAACAACACGAACCAGAATCAGAACTGTTCTGACTTTAACGACCTCTCCTCTCCTGCAGGAGGCGTCATCTCCTTTGTGGGCTCCCGTGGAGATTCCCCGTCCAGAACCAGTCCAGTCTCCATGTACAGTGAGAACTCCAACTCCCAGCCCTGCTTCACCTCCTCATCAGCGCTCCCCTTCCTCAGCAGCTCAGGCTCTGCAGGAGACGACGGCTCCTCCTCTTCCTCAGCAGGAGGTTCTCCTCGAGGCCGGGACGACGGAGGAGGATCTAAATCTGTGGCCAGTTTGACCAGTGAGTTTCTCTGATGTTTGCTGCTGTTCGACGTAATTTTTTATGCTAATAGTGCTTAGCGTATTTTTAGTTATTGTTTTTCTTATTTCATATCTTAGATCTTATTGCAGTTTTTCTTTTACATTTTATTGTTGGATGTAACTGGGACCCTGTGTACATAATTTCGTTCCACCACATGTACCACATGTGGTGCATATGACAATTAAAGAAACTCTGACTCTGTACATTGAGCCTCAAAGACTCATTTACAAGTGAGACCTGTTTACAGCTTTGTATGCGTCTCGTATGTTGATGCAAACATGGTTGAGGGTGTTATTTCCCCGTGTTGGAACGGTCACATGCTGATAAAATCTTGGTCTTTCAGGTTTACGTCATTAAAATCACCAGCCGCCATGCAAAAAGCCTCTGGATGTTTGTTTTGAAGCGAGCTGATGTTATCATGTAGCTCCTACAGAGCATCTTTAGCATTGGCATCCAGAGCTATTTAGACAATGATACACCGCCAAAAACTCACAAGGTAAATAATGGGGTCAACATTTCACAGTCAGTTGTTCAAAAGCCTCGGAGCAGGAACTGTTTATCAGAACACAATTTGTGGACCAACCGTTGTTTAAGTAGATGCTTTACCCCCACCCCTCCCCCATAGCTGGCTGCAGCGGTCCACCCCCCAAAAATTCTGCTATCCAGCTGGAAGGCTGAGTCTGGCATGTTGCTATTAAGCCATGTTTTTGTGAGACAGAGGACTTCACAGTTCCTCATCTCCTAAGGCACTCACTCTTAGTTGAGTTGCAGAAGGTCCAGCTTGTTTTCAAAAGAGTGGACATTGGCCAGGAACTGAGATGGAATCGGCGGCCTAACATTAGCCTACAGTCTTGCTAATACTCCGGCCCGTTTACCTTTCTTCTGACCCCGCGCACAGCATTTTCTTTTTCCTATATAAATAGAGCGCTGCTCCCTCCACACTGATGTCGCTGAATAGCTGCAATCTGCCAAGTGTAGCTCTCAGACTGTGGTCTGTCTCTGCTGGTTTTGAAAACAAATGTTCTCTTATGCTAATTCAAGCGAGCTAAGTCAGGATCAGATCTGATGTTAGAGCCAAAAAAACTGGGTCTCCCTGGGGAACTTGAGAAGCCGCTGCTCGTCGTTGTGCCGCCATCTTCTTTTTGGTTCTGCTGCTTTGATGAGAACAGGAGAGAAGGTTTTGCTGCTTTGATGTGGACATAAGGTTCTGCTTGTCTAATCCAACCTTCTGTGTTTCAGAGCTGAACGGCGTGGTTCTGTTCTGTAAGGTCTGCGGTGACGTGGCCTCTGGTTTCCATTATGGAGTTCACGCCTGCGAAGGCTGCAAGGTGAGACGTCAAGCACGTGCCCATCCGTTCCCCTCAGACTACTCTGACTGGTCCGTGGGTTCTGAAAGGCTCCTCTCTGTCGCCCTCTGCAGGGCTTCTTCCGCCGCAGCATCCAGCAGAACATCAAGTACAGGAAGTGTCTGAAGAGCGAGAGCTGCTCCATCGTGAAGATCAACAGGAACCGCTGCCAGCAGTGTCGCTACAGGAAATGCCTTTCTGTGGGGATGAGCCGCGACGGTGAGACACACCTGTCTACTCGCACACCTGTCTACTTGCACACATCAGCACCGTCAACACTTCCTGGTTATCCTGTTTAACATATTCTAAGTCTAAGAGATAAATCTGCCAAATACAGGAAGGTTTACACCATCTGTTACCATGGAGACAGAGTGAGGTAGGTTTACATCCTGTTACCATGGAGACAGAGTTAGGCAGGTTAACTCCATCTGTTACCATGGAGACACTGAGACCTGTAAGTCCTGAGCTGTGTATTTCAGGTACCAGGACATGTTTTCAGTAAAGATCAGAATCTGAACGTTATAATCAGCTGATGTGAGACTGAGCTTCTGACCAGACTCCACTTCCTGTCTGACCTCTTCCTCTTCGTTCTGTCCGCAGCGGTCCGTTTCGGTCGGATCCCAAAGCTTGAGAAGGTTAGAATGCTGGCTGAGATGCAGAGCGCCATGAATAACGTGGTCAACAACCAGCTGCAGAACGACTTCCAGCTCGCCAGCATATCCTCTTCCTCCTCTCCGAGCCCGGGAGGGACCATCGCTCCCCAGCCAACAACCCTACCACAAACTCCTACCTCCCCCTCTCCTTCTGAGCCATCTGCCTCCTCTTCCCCTCCTCCTCCTTCCTCAGGGCGAAGCTCCTCCCACTCATCTTCCTCCCGGCCCCCCAGCCCCGGGATGGACACCACCATCAGTGCCATTGCACACGCTCACCGTGAAACCTTCCTGTACGCACACAAGCTGACCAATCTCCACCCTCCTCATCAGCAGGAGAACACAAACCACACCCACCTCCATAATAAGGAGGCGGGGCTTTGGTCCAACTACTGCCCCAATGGTTACCATTCCAATGGCCTCAACAACCACAACCATAACTGGGACTCAGACAGAGACATTACTAATAATCTCCATAACAATGGGAGGCGGAGCCTGAATAACTGTAATCTGATTGGAGGGGAGGGAAGCACGCATCATTTGACCCGGGGGCCAAGCTGTCCGTCGGTGAAGAACCATGCTGGGATCGTTCTGGTAAGATCTGATCTGCTGTTCCCAGATCCATTATAACTTCACAAGCACAGCTGGTGATAAATTCAGGACTTTTGATTGGATGCAGCTTTAGAACGCAGTCGTCTGATTGGTTGACTGGTGTTTCCTCTCTCCACAGGCTTGTCCAATGAACATGCAACCTCATGCAGACCCCTCAAAGACCCCCCAGGAGATCTGGGAGGACTTCTCTCTGTCTTTCACTCCTGCTGTCAAGGAGGTGGTGGAGTTTGCCAAACAAATCCCAGGATTCAGCGCTCTGTCCCAGAACGACCAAGTCGCCCTTCTGAAGGCCGGCACCTTCGAGGTCAGACAGTCAAAACCCCATCACTCTGAGCCTTTTATGCATTATGGGTATTATAGGGTGGCATCACCATGGCAACAAACCAGAACTTCTGATAATTTTATACACAATGCTGGATTTTTTTCCCCATTCAACCTTTATTTAGACAGGTTAATCCCATTGAGCCTCGAGGACTCATTTACAAAGATGGTTGGATGTTCTTATGGTTGGATGCTGTTTCAGGTTCTGATAGTTGGATGTTCTGTCTCAGGTTCTCGTGGTTGGATGTTGTTTCAGGTTCTGATGGTTGGATGTTCTGTCTCAGGTTCTCGTGGTTGGATGTTGTCTCAGGTTCTGGTGGTTGGATGTTCTGTCTCAGGTTCTGATGGTTGGATGTTGTCTCTGGTTCTGATGGTTGGATGTTCTGTCACAGGTTCTGATGGTTGGATGTTGTCTCAGGTTCTGATGGTCGGATGTTGCCTCAGGTTCTGATGGTTGGATGTTGTCTCAGGTTCTGATGGTCAGATGTTCAGTCTCAGGTTCTGATGGTCGGATGTTCTGTCTCAGGTTC